AAAACGTGTGGCCACGCTATAGATGAAGTTGCATCTATTTTATTAGTCGATTTGCCAAGACGAGAAAGCAGTTAAACTTGAAGGGTGGCTCAAACCGTGCCCTTGTTCAACTTATGATATCGTGAGACAAAGGATCAGAATTTGAGCTGTTAATGCCTTGGTTAGATCACCTCTAACTCAATTCTAAGTGGGTGGTCATGGCGTCTTGCTAGAGGCTAACCATGACTTGTGGTTCGGGAAAGGTTCCTAAAGTCACTACCACTTAGAATGGGCCTACAGGGTCACACACCAATAGGGATGAACTTATACGTGAAGAATACGAAGAATGGAAACGAGATTTGACCGAAACGAGCATGAAAAGGAGTTTTCAGTGCGTTGGTCCGGAGCTGACCAAGTTTGGTCAGCCCCGGACCAAGTTTGGTTAGTCCGGGAAGTCCGGAAGCTCGGTCCGCGATCATCTGTCCAGACCTGGTCCGGCTGACCAAGAGTTGGTCAGCCGATGACCAGATTCTTGGACAGGCGGACCGAGATATGGCAAGTCGGACCGAGCTGACCAAGAAGGGTCTTGGTCCGGAGCTGACCACACGTGGTCCGCCGGACCAAGCCTTCAGGTCAGACGGTCCGGGGCCTCGGACTAAGCTTGGTCCGCCGGACCAAGCTCCTGGTCCGGCGGACCGGGATCCGGAATATTTCCAAAAATTCGTTTTAGGGTTTTCTAATCTTATTTAAGTTTGGGATTTCGTCCAAACTTAAGGAGAGCCGACCTAAAACTCAGAGAAACATCCTAGAACCCTAGAGAAGCTGTTCTCTTCGATTTCTATTGTCCCGGGATTGGATCTCGTCTCTTGAGTTACTCTTTTCTTCATTGATCCTAGCAGATTCGTTCCAAATCGTTTGGAATCCTTCCCGTCGGTGTGGATACGTGTAGAGGAGCTGTATTTTCAGCTCTTGGTGATTTAGAACAGGCCCCGGATCGAAATAAACTTCAAGTCTCATCGAGAACGAGGTAAGTAACGATTCCCTCGGTGATATACACGATCTTTCGGGTTTTGCGAGTTTGGTTGCGTGTGACGTTTGACTAGGTTTAGATTTTTCTTCCGCTGCATGAAACCTAGTAAACCAAACCCTAGATCGATATGATCGCATGCTAGGAACCCGTAGATAACCTAACACAGTGACACATATATAACCACGTATTTTGAAAACATGGATAAAATGGTTGCGGCCATGCGAGCATATAAAAGGGTTGTATAAAAGCCTGTTCTTGAGCAGAAGGGCTTTTGCAGAACTCACTGAAAGGGAAGTTGAAGGGAAGGAATTGAAGAAAGCTTTTTGGGATGTTTACATAGAGGATTTTGCAGTTGAATGAGATCTGCTTTACCAGAATGTTTTTGTGAATTCAATTTATAAAATAATACTGATTCTTTTCATGCCTCATTCTTAGATTTTAACTTCAATTTTGTTGAGAAAGATTTATTCGAGTATAGATTGTCATCACTTTCTGCCGAGTAATTAGGGTTGGACACGGATTGTGTATCCGTGATTTCGGATACCCGACCGTGTCTTTTGGATTCTAGAGTTTGGAATCCGTCGTTGTATTAACGCCAGTTGGATTCCCGAGCTGCCAGTGTTTTTAGGATGTCTCAAGTACTCAGATATCCACTAGTTATTCTGTCGGTGAAGGGACGAGGCGAAAAAACGAGACTCAGACCTATGGAGACGAGTAATAACCCTAGACAACATCCCTATACGAAGATCGAGATCTGGCCATCGTCGGATCTAGGAGTGGGTGTTTCGATTCAAGAATTTAGTTCCGAATTGGAATGAATTGAAATTAAACCATATCAAACTGAATGTCACGACATTTGGTTCTAATTTATATCATTTTCGTAGAATCGAATAAATCGTTTTTTATTCGAACGTGAGTAACGAAATAAAACTCAGACTATACAAATTATATATAAATATCAAGTTTTGATTTATAATAACAAAACTGTTACGAACAAAATCAACAGTAAAACGAATTGAACCGATTAACATTTTGTTCTAATTTATTTCAATTTTTATAGGACCGAAAATACCATTCCCAAACAGACAAATACATATTAAAAAATCGGAACGTCTATCCCTAGTCGGATCCATATGGGTTAGACACCGTTTGGACGGATTAACCGCAACATGCTGACTGCGGAAGGAGAAAACCGGACCGAACCGGAGTAGGTGAACCGGGTAACCGAAGTCCAAACCGGCTTGGTCTAACCCACACGAAAACAAAAACTGAAGGGCCCACATGAAAGAAATCACTCCACGCCACGCCACCAACTCCCCCTCCGTTACCTAACCCCGAGAGCCCCATCAACCCCATCTCGGTTGGTGAAACCACTCATCTCTGTGTTATTGATTTGTTTTTAAATTTAACATTTTCTATTCATTCGATTTAATTTAAATAATGGAGATCCATGCATGAATTTATGTACCTTAATCTTCGACTCTTTATAATTTAATGCCATATCTCAAATAAATTGTTTAATTCTTATTTACTTGTCAATAAAAAGGTTCCTTATTCAGAAAATAAATGTTGGTTTAGCAAAACTAAATGGATAAAAAATGTTTGTTTTCTTTGGAAAGATAAATAATAATATTACCAAAATAATAATAGTTTTCGAATTAATTATAGCATGTCTTTTGGAAACTATAGATTTTTTTTAAGAGTAAAATAGAAAATTATCAAAATTACGTGCTTTTATAGGATAAAAATTATGTGATGTTTTTTGTGCAAAATTTACACTTTTGCATATATTATATAAAATGTTTTATTACAATAATAAATACTGTTATTTTACTACAATAATGAAAGAATATTGCAGTACTGATGATGAACAGAACCTCGTATATTTATATACTCACTCTCCCATTTCCTCCCCTTTTTCAGAAACCAAAAAACAAAAACAAAAACTGCTCCAATTCCGAAGGAAAAAACAAGTAAAAAGACAAAGAAATTACCGAAACGATGCCGTCGGAGGCGGAGGCCGCCGCGAAATCGCCGGCGAACTTCTGGGGAGATATACCGGAGGAGGAGTACTACGCTTCCCAAGGGGTGCGAAACACCAAATCATTCTTCGAGACCCCCAATGGGAAGCTCTTCACGCAGAGTTTCATACCTTTGGATTGCGAAATCAAAGCGACGGTGTATATGACTCATGGGTACGGATCCGATACCGGTTGGATGTTCCAGAAGATCTGTATCAGCTTCGCTTCCTGGGGCTACGCCGTTTTCTCCGCCGATCTCCTCGGTCATGGCCGCTCCGACGGCATCCGCTGCTACATGGGTTCGTCACCTCTTCTTCTTTTTAAGCGTGGATTATCGATCTTTCTGGGTTTCTGTTGAATTTTGGTTTCTGGGTTTTGCTTAATGACTGTTGAATGTACAGTCTTGTCAGTGGAACTTCTCTGTGATGTCGAATTCAATTATGGGTTTCAAGTTTTCTGGATAGATTTTTCCATGGATCATGAAAAATTCGAGTTGTAGTTTTCCCATGGCTCGTGATTTGATTAGGAAATCTGATCGTAGAGCAAGCAAACAGACGAAGGAATCATCTGAATCTCCAGTAATTCGTCTACAGAATCTGGAATTTTCACGAGGATTCGGGGGGAAATGAGTGTAAACTTGCCGAGGTTTAAGAGAAACAGCTCGCATTGTAGCTAGAACTGGTCTGAGATCGTAATCTTTAGGCCACGAAGACATTAACCCTGATTTTGTTTTGGTCGGATTTGTCAGGTGATATGATGAAAATAGCAGCGACATCATTGTCCTTCTTCAAGCACGTTCGTGACAGCGAGCCCTACAAGAACCTGCCTGCATTCCTCTTTGGTGAATCCATGGGAGGCCTGGCCACACTGCTCATGTACTTCCAATCAGAGCCCGACACCTGGACCGGCCTGATCTTCTCGGCCCCGCTCTTTGTCATCCCCGAGGACATGAAACCAAGCAGGGCCCGGCTTTTTGCTTACGGCCTCCTCTTCGGCCTGGCCGACACATGGGCTGCAATGCCGGATAACAAAATGGTCGGTAAGGCCATCAAGGACCCGGAGAAACTCAAGATCATCGCATCTAACCCGAGAAGGTACTGAGTTATTCGTACAAGGGTACTATAGGGTTTTTCTTCTGGAACGTTTCGATATCGGATCGAAACATCTCGAGGGCGTTCTAAAGATCGTTGTTTTGCAGATACACGGGGAAGCCTCGGGTGGGGACGATGAGGGAGTTATTGAGGATGACGGAATACGTGCAGGAAAATTTCTCACGGGTAACAATCCCGTTCCTGACAGCGCACGGGACAGCGGACGGGGTGACATGCCCGACATCCTCGAAGCTGTTGTACAAGAAAGCGTCGAGCGAAGACAAGACGCTGAAACTGTACGAGGGGATGTACCATTCGCTGATACAAGGGGAACCTGACGAGGAAGCAGAGATTGTGTTGAAGGATATGAGAGATTGGATCGATGAGAGGGTTAAGAGGTATGGATCTAAATCGGCTTGATCTAAGATTGTTGGGTGTTTGTGTTGTGAGATCAGACAGAAGTGTATATTTTGAGACACATATGGTTGTTGTGATCTTGTTTCCTTGTCTATCAGTTATATAAAACTGGAACATTGTCCAATAAACGCGTCGCTAGTTTCTATGGAACTGGAACGTGTTCGTCTACTCAATAGACCTGAATCATATTTGGGGTGGACATTGATCGAGTACGAGTTTTCGGTATACCTGACCTTAGATCCGCCTCCGGATTTTTCGATCGGAGTACCTGATCTCGGCTTCAAGAAAGTTGGTTATACAGGTTTCGGGTATCCGCGGGAATATCTCGGTGAAGCGAGAGGGTTGAGCCGAGAAGGAGATCGAGGCAGGAGCGGTCGAGATAAGAGGTATATCTAGAACAGAGGAGCTGAAACGAAAGGGGTCGAGGTTAGAGAATTGGTGAGGTGAAAGGGGTCTAGAGGCGAGGCGAAAGGCGAGGTGAGCGACGAGATAGAGGTCAAACCGATATCGCCTTTCATCTCTCAAAAATTTGTGACCTAATTTGAACGTAGTCAGATAAAAAAAGGAAAGAAAATCAGACTCAAATACGATGGACTTCCCGTCGAGCTCTGAAGGCGAAACCTAAATGGTCTATTACAGCTCGAAACTTGAATGTCATCTTCTGCTGCCTTGCGACCTAACACCCCATCTTCGGCTCGCTCTTTCACTCTTTCGATTTGAATTATTCGAGGGTATGGATGATGAAAAACAAACTTGAACCCGCGGTTTAAGTTCCCGATGCCACACACACACCCAACTTTGCATCACCCGTAACTCAGTTTCCGAATTTCGGATATCCGAGAACAAATATCCATAGGTCTCGAGGGTTCGGGAAATTTAGCTCGTATTCTTGCAGTCTGTCATCATTCTACCTTTTCAGTCACTAACTAGAAGAAGCATTATAGGTTAAATTCAGAATCCTAATGAACTTCTTATCCTATTTAATCATTACACGAAATATTTACATCAAGAACTCCAATCTTGTCTTTGGTGTTTAAGATAACAATCTCGGTGGAATATGCTTCCGAGAGGTAAATGGATTTGGATGTTCACTAGAAGACAAAACCAAATCTTGCCGCCGGCATCTTCGGATTCATATATTCTTCTGCAGTTGCAACAAATATCCATTAGGACCAAAACCTAATTATATCCATCTGATCTGCCGTAACATCCAAAGCCATTTTTCTAAATATTAGAACATTTTGCATCAATCACTTCGAAATTTAATAAATTTAAATATATATACAGACACAAATAGCATATTCTATTAAGGAAGAATACAAATCAATGCCTAAGCCTCCTTTGTACGTATTACCTCAAACAATATTTTTAAAATTATATTGACAGGACAATGTATATTTTATTAACCATATTTTCCCCAAAAAAAAATATTTTCCTGAAAATTCGACTTCATAAATACTCCGCGCTTGTAAACATTCGGTAAGTATTCCCTTTGAAAACCCAACCAAAAAAAAGGACAATGGGATCGATCTCGACGACAAAGATTCCGGTGCTTGATTTCACGAACCAAGACCTGATACCGGACACGCCCTTATGGGTCTCCACCTCCGTGGAAGCCTGCAAAGCCCTCGAGGAGTACGGCTGCTTCGTCGCCGTTTACGGCGGAGCTCCGCCACATCTCGCGGGCGCCGCCTTTTCCGCGGCGGAGGAGCTCTTCTGTCTCCCGACAGAGACCAAACGCAAGAACGTCAACGACAAGCCGTACCATGGCTACGTCGGTCAAATGTCCGTAATCCCTCTTCACGAAGGCCTTGGAATAGATTATGTCACCGACAGAGATCATGTCCGGAAGTTCACTGAGCTCATGTGGCCACAAGGGAATGATCCCTTCTGGTAAAATACGAAATCGAATTCTGGGTTTTGTTCAGTTTTCGATCCAAATTCGATTCATTTCGTCAAGATATACAAAGTTCTTGATTGTGATATTGTTCTTCATTGAGCCTGCAGTGAAACCGTCTACTCTTTCTCGAACGCTATTGCTGAATTGGACCGTCTAGTCGTGCGGATGATATTCGAGAATTATCGTGTCGGAAAATACTACGAATCCCACATCGGATCCAAGACTTACCTCCTCAAGTTTCTCAAGTATTCTCCTCCACCGGAGGCTAACCCTACTCCAGCTTTCCCAATGCATACCGACAAGACATTCCTATCGATACTTCGCCAGAACGACGTTAACGGGTTGGAGGTGAAATCAAAAGACGGGGAATGGATCGCCCTGGAACTCCCTCCCAATTCGTACGTCGTAATGGCAGGCGATGTCAGCATGGTAAGTATAAGTTTTTCAACGTTTCGTGTACGAGAAGGCATCTTCCGCAAGTGATTTCAGTTTGACGAAACGTTTTTTTTCCCCGGGGTATTTTGGTTAGGGATGGAGCAACGATAGGATACGTTCTTGCGAACATAGAGTGACGATGAGCGGGAACAAGAAGAGATACACGCTAGGCCTATTCTCGTTCGTTACGGGAACAATCTCGGTCCCCGAAGAGCTTGTGGACGAGAAGGATTATCCGCTCAAGTACAAGCCTTTCGACAATATCTCTCTCATAGAGTTCTATGCCACCGATGAAGGGCGTAAAGCCGAGAACACTCTCAAAGCATATTGCGGAGTCTGGTAAATTCGCTATCATCAGACACAGAGATTTGTCTTAAAGTGTTTTATGTGTATCTGTTTGTTGTAATATATGCTCTCTTGTAATGTATAAGCTTGATGTGATACATTTCCCAAACTATATGAAAAGGCATTTGAAATCTTTGTTTACTTTGGTTCATATAACACTAAATATGCGATGGGGCTATTTTACCATTTCTCAATATATATATTGTCTGGCACACCAAAATATCAAAATTCCAACGTTGAGTACAAAAAAATTCAATAATAATTAGCGATTGGATTTTCGTGCGCTAGTAGGGTTGACAATCTCCTCCACGTCATAACTTGACATTCGAAAAACAAATAACACATGTATACGATGGTGTATATAATTGTCCTTATACAAAACATTCATATAACATAAAATATAACAATACAGAAACGTGCTATATATCTGCGATTTTGTGTTGAATCAAGTGATTCGTTCATTCGTGGATTATATGATTGTGATCGAATCTGTAAGAAAATCCCTAGTCCTCTAAGTTGCAGATCCCAAAACCTGTTGCATCTGATCGCTTCATGATCCTCATCCTCCTGCATGACTCCATGAACATCCTACACCAAACACGGAATCCAATATCATTAATTATCCTATATATTGATTATTATATTATCGATATAATAATCAATATTAGATATGTTTTGTTATAAAACGGTCCATCAACGGATAATATTTTTCGTCGGCTACAAAGGGTTTTCATTTTCGTGTGTTATTTGTGTTTGATTATTTTCAATACTCATATGCTGGCCAACAAACATCAATTAGTATGCATTATGCGTTAATCCTTATTTGGGCTAACTAAGTTATCTTAATAAGTTTTGGGGTCGAAATCACATTTGTGGAAAAGTATACGGACCAACATGCAGGTATCTTTCGCTAATTTATTATTTCTATATGAACGGAGTTGAAAATATGTTAAAATTATTATTATTATTATTATATATAACGAAGTGAATGCAATATTATATGTAAATGTTTGAAATGAAATTGAGGATATTGTAGTTAAGGAGGCTTACTGCCAAGGGACATCTCCTGCGAGCATCCAGTCTCCGTCCTTATCCTCGTACGTTGTAACGTACTCGCACTTCTCCCCATCCTTCAACGCAACTCCTGCGCCCATATATTCACATATCGGTATATAGCTCTCATTAATTATACTTAAATCTATAATCAAACAGCTAATTTTGACCACAATTTTATGCTTAATTCTAGAATATATGTATATATATATATATAGTTTTATAACATCAAAACATATGTGATCATACTAATTGTTACCGACATATATTTTCGTACATGTAGCAACAAACTTATACGTATTATATAACTAAATCAAACTTAGTATACATACATACATACATACATACATACATACATACATACATACATACATACATACATACATACATACATACATACATACATACATACATACATACATACATACATACATACATACATACATACATACATACATACATACATATGAGATCCAAACCAAGACTATATAGAATTACTAACCGATTCCGATGCATCCGAAAAGCTTCTCGAGGGCCAGAGAGAGATCGTCGTATCCATGGGTTGAACCCAAATCCATCTTCCTAAGATAGGGGACACCGTCCATGCTCACTTTCACGTACCCTTTCGAAGCCTGATCCCTCCAGCCGCTGTTCTTGCTCCTGTAAGAACACACCGGCGGCCAACCCACCACCGGAAACTTCGCCGCCGGTGACGATACCACCTTATCTCCGGCGACTTCTTCGTTCTCACCTTCTGCAGACATTTCGGAGAAAACCCTTTTCTTGAAAGTCTCTTTCTTCCCGCCATCATCTCCCGGAAGACCCAATCTCAGCTCCGTGATCTCAAGTCCAAGACCCATCTTTTTTTTTTCCTTAGTTATGAATTATGAATGATGAACACTAATGATATTTTCTTCTCACACTTCCTTCTCCCGTCATTCGTTGAGCTTTTTATATGTTGCAGTAACATAAAAAAAAACTTTTAATTTGTGTAATTAAAAAAAAAATTGGTGGTGGAGGAGACAAGGTGGGGACAAGGACAGGTCGACATAGGAATCGGCGGTCGGTCACATGAGAAGCAGAGTGGAGGCTGTTTGGTCTTCTGTGATCCTTATAAAGACCGGCATCATCACTTGGTTTAGGGAACACATCCAACGGCTCTCTTTGATCTTGAGAATTTTTTCGGACCGTCCGATCTCTTTGGAATCTCCCCACCATCCCATGTGATCGTCCATTTGTGTCGATTCCCCGTTTTCTCACGAGGTAATCGGAATATGGAAATTCCTACTATTTTGGGATATGTTAGTTATTATTCTATTATATTAGTTTTTCATTGATTTAACATATAACTGAAACGATCAATCAAAATCCATGTGAATATGTAGAGGTGAGTTCAAGAGAGTCCGAGGATTTGATGTTTTTTAGTTAAAAATGTTTGAGTTTAGATTGTTCACTAACAAAAGAAAAAATTGAATTTATAAAGTAAAAGAAATTTAAAATTATAAAGTTAAGAGGGTTTGAATTGAATTAACCTTTTGGAATAATATAATAGATATTTGAAAAAGTTTACTTTATTATTATTTATGCTTCGTATATATACATGTGTGTGTGAGACCTAGATACAACTACTTTCCTAAATGTGGGAGATATCGAATATACAAGAGATATTATATATATCACCAATACGCCCCTTCAAGATGGAAGACCATCAGAGACACCAATCTTGACACAGCATTCCTGAAACGAGGTACGAGGAAGCGGCTTGGTCAAGACATCGGCAAGTTGATTTTTGGAATTGACATGCGAGACACGAAGAACACCATCATTGACTTGACCACGAACAAAGTGATAGTCCAACGCAAGATGTTTCATACGAGAAAGAAAGATGGGATTGGCACAAAGATAAGTGGCACCGATATTATCGCAAAAGATAGTGGGAGCCGAGGACAAGGAACAACCGAGTTCATGCAAGAGAGACACAAGCCATCGTAGCTCTGCGGAGGTGTTAGCAATGGAACGATATTCAGCCTCCGTCGACTATCTAGAGTGACCGGAGAGTTTCTTAGAGGACCAAGAAACCGGGTGTCGTCCAAGATACACAATGTAAGCTCCCGTGGACTTGAAGTCACTAGGATCACCAGCCCAATCCGAGTCACTAAACGCATGAAGAGAGATCTTATTATCAGCCGAGAAGAAAATTCCCGACGACCGTGAACCCGCAAGAAACCGAAGGACTCGTTTGACTGCAATCCAATGCTCGTCAGTGGGGTTATGCATGAATTGGGAGAGCTTATTCACCGCAAAACTGATGTCCGGCCGAGTGAGAGACAAGTATTAAAGACTTCCAACAACCATTCTGAATTCAGTAGGATCGGATAAAGGGGTTCCAGAGAAAAGAGTGAGACGCGAAGTGGAAGCCATAGGAGTACTCACGGGCTTAGCGTCAAGCATGTTGGTCCGAGATAGCAAATCAGTCACATACTTTCGTTGACTGAGGAACAATCCTTTGGTCGATCGAGAAGCTTCAATGCCCAAGAAAAATGACAAGGCCCCAAGGTCTTTCAGAGAAAAACGAGAGGCAATGCCAGCTAGAAAATCCCGAGTACGACCCGAGCTAGAACCGGTGACAATGAGATCATCAACATACACAAGTACGAGCAACTGAACACCGGCATCCCGAAGAATAAAAAGAGAGACATCGGCAACCGAGTTAACAAATCCGGCCGCAAGGAGATAGGTGCGAAGTTTAGAGTACCATGCCGTCGGAGCTTGTTTGAGGCCATAGATGGCCTTCCGAAGCTTACAAACAAACGTCGGTCGATTCTTATCAACAAAACCAGAGGCTGCGACATGTATACCTCATCCGATAAATGACCCTGAAGGAAAGCATTGTTAACATTCAACTGTCGAATCTCCCAACCATTGGAGATAGCCAAACTCAGAACCACGCGAATTGTTGTCGGTTTGACAACGGGACTAAAGGTTTCATGAAAATCAATGCCAGGTCTTTGATGAAAACCTTTTGCAACCAGTCGAGCTTTGAAGCGATCAACCGAGCCATCCGGATTTTTCTTAACCTGAAAAACACCCCACTATATTTGAAACATCAACCGAGGGAACAAGTTCCCAAGTACCATTCCGAACAAGAGTGTAACACCCCGAATTTCGGTAAAAGGATTAGAGAGATATAAACCGAAATTGACGACGCTTGATCAATGGAAATGAGATGATTAGGCGATAAGCCCTTAATTTTCGTTAACAGGATTAACGAGGAATAGACCACGACATGAAGCCGCTCGGGCGAATTGGTTTAACGTGGAACAACCGAGCCGAACGAAGGAGAGGCAAGAAAAAAGAAGATCGACCATTCCAACGGAACATAATGCCCCGTGAGTTTCTCTTCTCTGCACCAAACCCTAGAAGGTCGTTGAGGTGCCAGAGAAATGCTCAAGAATATAGAATCAAACCTAACCAAGTTGACCGAAGGATTGGACCGAAACGAGCGAGAAAAACGGGCGAAGATTGGTCAGACCGTCCGGTCTGGGAAGGAGACCGTCCGGTCTGGGAGACGCAGACCGTCCGGGCTGCCTAGCCGGACCGTCCGGCCTGACGACGTGAGACTGAGAAAAATCGCGTTGCCTCTTCTCCATGCTGAGTCACCGCCGGAATTCCAAGGTTTCACCGGCGTTTGACACCTCCTGCTTGATCCAGGAACAGCCCAACCTCCTCTACACGAGCTTCACTCTCTCACTCTGCTCACACTCAGCCTACAGCTCGCTCTCACCCTCTCCCTTGTGTTCTTGCGAACTCAGACCGAGAACTCTCAAATCGGAGCTTATTTTGCATGGAAATCGACGGGAAAATTCAGTAATCAACACTAGAAAACCCCAGCAACAAACCCCAGAGCTCAAAAATGACACAGGTGAGTATTTCGGATTAAATTCGAAAATGATAATCAAATTGAAAATGGAGATTTGTGTGCCTTGAGTGCGATTCATGCATGTTTGAGCTTAGATTTGAGATCCTGATGATCTCTAGGTTGTTTTGAGCTATAAGTGGTTGAGTTTGGTGCGAAAAAAATCGGAACCCGGAATTCCTGGTTCGCCTCGACCGAACGGTCCAGGTTCAGACCGTCCGTTCTAGGGCTGCAGGGTTTTGGGGAAGAAGACGAAGTCTGGAACGTCCGTTCCAGAGGTGGACCGTCCGTTCCACCTCTACTGGACCGTCCGTTCCAGCTTAGTTCAGACCGCCGGGACCAGTCATCTTGGACCGTCCGG